TATATATATATATATATTTAATCATATCCAATGCTTATAATCAGAGCTGAGTGGTGAAGTGGACACATTATAAGTGTTCCACTATAAGTTACAAGTCAACGTTCTGTGTTGTGAACTAAAGTCGTTTTTAATTGCAAAGAGACGGAGAGACAGAGCTGGTCTGGTGTAGAACAGTTTTAACCTTCTGTAGTTTCTTTATGACATCGTCAAACACAATCTGTATCAAAGTTTGATGTTTTATTAACGCTCAGTAAAAGTCACTACTTTTACAGTTCTTATCTGAGTTTTAGGCGGGAACAAAAGTTCTGAAAATTAACATGGAAATGGAGTCGGTCCGTGCACATTTTATTTTATTATATTTTTTTAAATGTTAGTACATTTATCTTACACTTTCATCTTCAAACGTCCTCAAAAAATGTGACAGATGACCAATATTTTCCATATGCGATATTTTGCAATACCAGCTTTAAATATAGAATACATTTTCCCCCATATGATACTATAAATTACTTTATAAAATGGAAAATGCAGAGAAATTAAAAACATAATTACTGCACCATGTTCTGCGTCAGATTTGGTATCAAATAATAAACTGTACTCACAGTTTGTCACAACAAGGATTCCTGCCCAGAGCAGCAGGACATGGAGACAGAAGGCTGCCATATTCAGCGGTTGAGCTTCATATGTGTACAGAAATAAGTGCAAACCACAGAAAGATATTCACACATTGCAACAGAAGCTGCACCTCCTCTTCATGTACATGCTGAAAAAAAGAACCACTGAAACTTAAAACACTGCATCTACTTTTTTCATACGAAGCTTTGAAACAAATGCTGCGTGCTGTGCAGCTCAGTTTTTGTCTCAGATTAACATGTAAAGTGAAGTTTGATCATAAGATTTTACTTTAATGAAAAAACTAGCATCTTTTAATTTTTAAAGTTTAGGAATAAAAAATCTGCCTCCAAAAAATGTTGACTTTTTAAAATCAGGATATTTACTGTCGCTGACTATGCAGATGCAGACATGGCCTCCTCGACCAATTAGATGACTTTCCTGCTGAGGCCCAAGGTACAGGTGTTGTGGGCTCCCGGAAGAATTGAGGGTCACTGAAGCACTCAGACAGTGTGTGGGAGTGGGAAGGAGGGCCCGAGTGCGAACACGGAAGAACACAGAACCGAGTTAAAACAAAAGGCGAGGCGTTTATTATAGGTTTAACTTTATTTGACAGTAAGAGCTGGAATATTTCACTTGTAAGGATAGCCGTCTAGCTGTTCCATCATAACTGTTAATATGTTCATCTAAGTATTTCTTTCTACCTAAAAATAACTGAACTTATGCTGCACTTATGTAGAGGTGCACTGAAAATTAGTCTGTTTGAACTCTTAATAACAAACTCAATCATTGAATCATTGAAAATCATTGAAATACTTATTGTTTGGTAATAGAACAGCTGATTATCACAAGAAGGTGACTGGAGAGTTTTCAGAAAGATTATATGTTAGATTTACACTTATGATAGAAATATTACTTCAGTTATGAAAAAACATTACAGTTTGTGTCAAGTTTGTTAAAAACAAACAAACCAAAAAACAGAAACAATGTCAAACACAGTTTTTGTCTTTAATTATCTGCAGGTGGTAAAATGTATCACGTTTGCAGGTTTGTTTGTTTTTCATTAAATGCTGACGTCTGTGTGGCAGCATGATGGCGGGTGGTTATCTTTGTTTCCTCACAGCAAAAAGGTCCTGGTTTAAATCCAGTTTGGTTACCTTTTTTTAGTGTCCACGTGGGTTCTCTCCAGCTTCCTCCAACAGACATGCAGGAGGTTACGTTAAAGGCTAAACTGGCCATACTGGACTAAAATGAAACTAAAATTTCAAACATTGAGATTCAACATTTTAATTATTTGAAATAAAAACATAAATAGACAAGTTTGTTTTAAAGGGTGTTGGCAATGTTTTGATGATGGTTATTCAAAATTCTTCAAATTAAGGGGCTCAATCAGCTCCATCAGTTATATACAAACCGGATTCCAAAAAAGTTGGGACACTAAACAAATTGTGAATAAAAACTGAATGCAACGATGTGGAGATGGCAAATGTCAATATTTTATTCAGAATAGAACATAAATCACGGAACAAAAGTTTAAACTGAGAAAAGTTAACATTTTAAGGGAA